TATCTCATCCTCTCATTACTTCAGGATTCATGCTTTACTTGCATGATCATTTTCATATTACTCATAACTTGTTATTACCCATTGAACCTAAGTCTTGGGATCTCCAGTCATTTAGGTCGGGTTACCATCATGAGTAACTAATTGCTTCATAGGCATTAGTCCCATCTTTTTGGATGTATTATGGACTTTCTCTCTAGCTAATCCTTTCGTCAAAGGATCTGCTAAGTTCTCATCAGTGCGTACATGATCCACTCTCACAGCTCCTTTAGAGATACAGTCTCTAACAGTGCTATGTTTTCTTCTAATTTGACGTCTTTTACCATTATAATAACGGTTCTCAACTTTTGCAATAGCCGCGGTACTATCGCAGTGGATCAACACAGCTGGTATAGGTTTTTCCCATAAAGGAATCTCAGCTAGCAAGCATCTTAACCAACTTGCTTCTTCACTAGCTGTAGCTAATGCTATCATCTCAGACTCCATTGTGGACTGTGCCAGAATGGTCTGTTTCTTTGATTTCCAAGATACAGCTCCTCCGGCTATACTAAATATATAACCAGTAGTAGCTTTGGAATCATCCGATAAGGTGTTCCAATCTGCATCACTATACCCTTCTAGTACAGCAGGAAATTTCTGATAGTGTAGGCCGAGGTCCATAGTCCTTTTCAGGTACCTCATTACTCGCTCAATAGCTTGCCAATGTTCATTACTCGGCCTACTTGTAAATCTGCACAACAGTCCTACGACATATGCAATGTCGGGTCTAGTACAATCAGTGGCATACCTAAGACTGCCAATGATGCTCGCATATTCTGCTTGTTTGACACTCTCTCCAGTGTTCTTAAATAGTTTCACACTTGGATCATACGGAGTGCATGCAGGTTTACAATCAAAGTATTTATATTTCTTTAAGATCTTCTCCACATAGTGAGATTGATCCAAAGAAATTCCTTGTTCGGATCTCGTGATCTTGATACCCAGGATCACGCTTGCTTCTCCGAGGTCTTTCATATCAAAGTTATTGCATAACAATGATTTCATATCATTAATGGCCTGAATGTTTGATCCAAATATAAGTAGATCGTCTACATATAGACATATGATAGTACAAATGCGATTCTCAGATTTGTAATAGACGCACTTGTCACTTTCATTCACTTTGTACCCATTAATTATCATTAAGTTATCAAACTTTTCATGCCATTGTTTAGGGGCTTGTTTTAGTCCATACAGAGACTTATCTAACTTACAGACCTTGCTTTCTTGTCCTTGGATTACAAATCCTTCTGGTTGTTCCATATAGATTTCTTCTTCTAAGTCACCGTTTAAAAAAGCTGTTTTAACATCCATTTGGTGTACTATTAAGTTATAAATGGCTGCTATTGAAATGAGTACCCTAATGGATGTAATTCTAGTGACTGGAGAAAAGGTGTCGAAGAAATCTATATTTTCTCTTTGTCTAAAACCCTTGGCTACAAGGCGTGCCTTGTATTTCTCAATCGTTCCATCAGGTTTTAGTTTCTTTTTCAAAACCCATTTACAACCAATTGGTTTGCAACCCGGAGGTAAGTTTACTAAGCGCCAGGTCTTGTTAGATTCTAGAGAATCTATCTCATCATTAATGGCTTCTTGCCATAAGTCTGCATCCATAGATGACAGTGCTTCTTGAAGATTTATTGGATCTTCTTCTACATTATAGGCCGCATAGTCGGGCCCATAGTCTTTAGCAACTCTTGCTCTTTTACTTCTTCGAAGCTCTGTTTCTACATTGTCGCTGCTTTCAGTGCTTTTTATCACAGGAATGTGACTCGATTGTGTGCCCCCACTATTTCTCGATTTGAAGGGAAATTTGTCTTCAAAGAATTCAACATCGTTTGATTCTATGATTACTCTGGCATTTAGGTCATAAAACCTGTATGCCTTACTGTTTGCTGCATACCCAATGAATACGCATTCATAGGCTCTACTAGCGAGTTTAACTCGTTTCGGATCCGGAATTCTGACATAAGCCAGGCAGCCCCAAGTTCTCAAATAAGACAAATTTGGTTGTCTTTTCTTTAATATCTCATAAGGTGAGATCTTACTTTTCTACTTGGGAACTTTATTCAGGACATAGCAAACAGTCAATAAAATTTCTCCCCACCAGTGAGGTGCAGCACCAGAATTTAACATGATTGCAACTACAAGTTCAGTAAGAGTCCTATTCTTTCTTTCTGCTTTACCATTCATTTCAGGAGAGTATGGAGCAGTCGTTTCATGTATAATACCATGTTCAGCATAAAAATCATTAAACAAGCTAGAGTCATATTCGGTTCCCCTATCACTGCGAAGTCTCTTAATCTTCTTGTTAAATTGATTCTCAATTTCAGTTACATACACCTTAAACATGTCAAGCGCTTCACTTTTATTCTTCATTAGATATACATAAGTATAATCAGATCAATCGTCAATAAAAGTGATAAAGTAACGTTTATTATTTCTAGTTAAACTTCCATCTAATTCACATATATCAGAGTGTATAAGATCTAGGGGGTCAGATTCTTTTATAATTGACTTATGTGAAGTTTTTGTTATTTTAGCTTGACTGCAAAATTCACATTTATTGGAATCATTAACATTTAGTTTAGGGATTAGGCCTATGTTGCTTGCATTAGAAAGGATTCGTTTATTAACGTGACAAAGTCTACCATGCCAAATATTGAAGTCACACACAGAGTAAACAGAAGGAGAAATTTTATTCAAATCAACATTCAACTTAAACATGCCATCAGTGGCGTACCCTTTTCCAACAAAAATACCATTCTTAGTGATGGTGTACAAATCTGCCCCTAAAGTTTGACTAAACCCAGCCTTATTCAAAAGAAAACCAGAAACAAGATTCTTCCTAATTTCAGGAACATGCATGACGTCCTTCAAGATCAAAGTCTTTCCTGAAGTGAACTTCAGCTCAACATCTCCAATTCCAGCAACATTAGTGGTGTGAGCATCTCCCAACAACACTTTCTTATCTTCAGCATTCATGTATGTCTTGAACATAGCACGATCATAGCAGACATGACGAGTGGCGCCAGTGTCTATCCACCAACCATCACTTCCACCAACCATGTTGATTTCAGTGATCATGGCAATGAGTTGCTCATCAGTCAGGTTGACCTGAGCATTTGAGCCAGCTGCAGGTTTAGGCCTGCTCCTACATTTCTTTGCCATATGGCCCGGTTTCCCACAATTATAGCAAGTGAAAACCGGAGCATCATTTCTTTGAGGTGGTGGTTGTTGCTTAGCAAATGGAGCCGATGGGGCCCTAGAGGGATTCCCATTCTTAATTCGGTTCATAGCATTGCGGTTCTGATTCTTTAAAGGTTTGCCCGTAGGCTTCAGAACCGCACCGAATTTCTTTTTGTTGTTAGACACAACTAAGACTTCTTCTTTCTGATCTTGTTTCCGAGCCTCCTCTTCAATTCGGAGGCGAGTTATCAGACTCTCGATTGAAAATTCTTTTGTTTTGTGACGAAGCACACTTTTGAAATCTTTCCAACCAGGGGGCAGTTTGTCAATAATTACAGCAATTTGAAATTGTTCATTGAGGGGCATACCTTCTGTAATGATCTCATGAGCAATCTTTTGTATTTCGTGGCTTTGAGCTTCCACCGACTTCTCATCCACCATCTTGTAGTTCAAGTAGCGGCTGACAGCAAATTTCTTCGCACCTGCTTCTTCAGTATCATATTTTCTTTGCAGAGCCTCCCAAACCTGTTTAGCAGTCCTGTAGCTACTGTAGTAGTCGTACAGATCATCAGCAAGGCTGTTCAGAATGTGATTTTTGCACAGATAATCATTCTCGTGCCATAAGGCGATTTCTTTTCGGAGCTGTAGATCATCTGCTGCAGCCTTAGCTTTTGCAGCATATGAGTCAGATATTTTGGAAGTCCCGTCTGAATCTGCAAGTGAGTTACCGTTAGGTAGTTCAGATGATGCAGAAGGGACAACCGGGATATCCTCAGTCAGAACGTGGGCAACCTTTTTCAGAGTTAAGAAAAATTTCATCTTAGCTTGCCAACGTTTGAAATTGGAACCCTCAAACCTGAAAGGTTTGTCAGAGACCGAAGCGGCCGCAGTAGTACCGATAATTTCCTCAGTTGCCATGGCAGTTATGAAAACGTCTTAAAATTGTTGTCTTCGGATTTGAAAAAATAGCGTTTGGCACAAGGAAATTATCGGGACGAGTCGCGTACTAGGTCGCTTTCTTTAAGACGTTTCGTCGTACTGCCAAATTATGCAAAGCAGTCGAATTTACGACGACGTCTCCAGGATAAAACAGCCCGTTCTTAAAACTTACGATTATCAGTTGCACACTGATAAATCGCTCTAGAAATACACCTTTCAAAGTATCTGGTTAAAGTAACCAGTCAAGAAAAGAGAGTTTTTGAGATGAAGAGAAATGAGAAAGAGAGGAGGGAAATCAAAATTCGTGTGAATTTGTGAAATCCGATGTACCCACTTCTGAATTTCTACCCTGTATTTATAGGCAGCAAACTGCACCTGAGTGGGGAGAAATTCGTGGGGAGTGGAGAAAATGGTGGGAGACTGAGAAATTCGTGGGGAGTGGAGAAAATGGTGGGAGACTGAGAAATTCGTGGGGGACTGACTGACCAATTATTTTCTTAATTAATTAATATTTATTATTAATTAATTTTCCACCGAATTATATTAATTAATTAATGATAATTAAATTATATAAATTCGGGTCCAAAAAATAATTCATCTAAACACGACTAATATTTCCATTCCCTTCAATGTGGGACTAAAATGAATCTTTTCAAATTCACTTCTATATTAGTTCTCACTTGTGTTCATTTATTGCTCATTAATTGTCAACAAATGTTTCCAATTCCCATTATAATTAATTAAAGTTCCACCATTAATTAATTAAAGTTCCAACAAGAACAAATTCAGTATATTGTAATAACCAAAACCAAAGGGAATTCAGAAAGTGTGAAGACATGGATTTGAATGGAAATGGAAATAGGAATGGGTTTTTAAAAGTTGCGGACAAGTTTAAAGAGAGTGATGTTTCATTTGTTCGTATATTTTGGATTACTCATTCGGGACAACACAGATCTCGTGTGCGTTTCATGTTTATGTCATTTTGTTTTTTTATATTTCATTATTACATTGTTATTTTTATATTCACATTATTTACATTATTCTGTTGTAAAATTTTGTTTCAGATTATTCCGAAAAAGCATTTCTATGATACGGTTACGAAGAATGGTGTTGCTTTACCACCTGTGACAATAGTAATGACTTCTTTACTGGAAAAACCTGCGCCTGGTTCTGGTGTGGGTTTTGTTGGTGAAGCAAGAGTAACACCTGATTTGTCTACTACAAGGACAATTCCATGGTGTAAACAAGATGAAATGGTTTTGGGAGATTTGAATGTTAAACCTGATCAAGCATGGGAACATTGTCCGAGAGAGGTCTTTAGAAGAGTTTCCAAAACTCTCAAAGACGAATTTGACTTGGTAATATCTATCTTATCATCTACCAAAAATAACGTCAACAATAGTAAGACAATAATTAAATATTAACTATAAAATTATATAATAAAGGGATAATTAAATGTTATTTAAAACACTTATTTTAATTTTGAAATAAAAAACTGTTTTTTAAAATATTTTATACATAATTGTTAATGTAGAACCTATTTTCAGGTAATAAGTGCAGGATTTGAGATTGAGTTTTATCTTTTAAAGAGCATAACAACAAGGTATGACATTCAATATTATACAGTAGTTTGATTAAACCAATTTCCTATGCCAATTATGAGAAATTTATTCAGGGAAGGAAAACAAGAATGGTTAGAATTTGACTCCAGTCCTTACTGCTGCTCATCTGCACTTGATGTTGCTTGCCCAATACTTCGTGAAATTGCATCTGCTTTACATTCCACGGGCATTCAAGTAGAACAGGTTAAAATATTTTTCTACTGCAATACTTTAGAAAGCGCTGTTAATTTTTAAATTTAAAAAAATATTTTTTACTGCATTATTTTATAAAGTGTTGTCTATTTTTGAATTTCAAAAATAAACTGTCTACTGCAACAAAATTATTGCTATTAATAACATAATTACTTTCACTTAATATATATCTCTTTTCTGAACTTATTTTTTTATACATATATTGAAATTGCAGTTACATACAGAAACTGGAAAAGGTCAATTTGAGCTGGTTTTGAAGCATACCATTTGTAATAAAGCTGTAGACAACTTAGTTTACACACGCGAAATTATTAAGGCAATTGCTAGGAAACATGGCTTGCTTGCAACTTTTCTTCGAAAGTAAGTGACAATATGGAATATTTAAGGTTTAAGTTTAGTCTAATTATTTATCATAGTCTTATTTTTATAGGTTTGAGTATGATTTTTTCAATCCATTTGTTAAGAGTCTCAAATCGGACAATATATGGCATGAACATGTATTTATATGTGGGAGCAATACTCACTCTACCAATCGGTTTTGTAGGGTTGAGTTAGGCCCAGCCACATTTCTTAACATGGTATCAGAGATCCGGTGGGCCACCCACCATTTACTTCCACGTTTCTTAACACCATCCATTTTAACAGAGTTTGTTATGATATTGAAGGTACAATTTAGATGATGTGAGTTCTGGAATCCATGCGCATATAAGCTTATGGCAGAATGGCAAAAATGTGTTTATGGCATCTGATGAATCCTCAACATATGGAGTATCTACGTTCGGAGAAGAGTTTATGGCCGGAATTCTATATCATCTTCCTTCTATTATGTCATTCATAGCACCACTTCCTATCAGGTTTGAGATTTGAGTTTAAAAATAGTGTATAAGCAATGACATTCTTCAATCAAGAGAAATACTTTGATCAGATTAGAAAATAAATTATGCTACTATGTTTTCTTATATTTGATTGCAGTTATGATAGGTTACAATCAACAATATGGGGTTCGTATTTGTTTTGGGGAAATGAAAATAAAGAAGCTCCATTGCGAGCTTCGTCTTCGCCCGGAACTCCTGATGGTTTGAAGAGTAATTTTGAGATTAAGTTAATGGATGGTTGTGCAAACCCATACTTGGGCTTATCGGCTATAATTGCTGCTGGCATTGATGGCCTTCGTCGACATCTTACCCTTCCTGAACCTGTTGGTAAGATAATATAAATATCTTTCTCTTCTTGAAACTAAGTCTATGTCTTATGTTTTTTTTTATACTATCAATATGTTAGAGTGTTTGTGTCGTGTCGTGGTGTTTTATAGATGCTAATAATAGACACGAAGGGAATAAATAATAAACTTTTTATTTCATGTGTGAAACAGATACAAGTCCAAATCTTGAAACTCTTAAAAGATTACCAAAATCACTTTCTGAATCCTTAGAAGCTCTCCATAAGGCATATTTTCTTGAGGAATTTTTTGGTGATAAGTTGCTAACTGCCATAAAAGCAATTCAAAAGGTAAATAATTTTACTTAGAAACTTATAAAATTGAAACCGTTAGATTTGATTCTCTAATGAATGTGAGTTATATTGACAGGTTGAAATTGATCATTATTCAAAGAACAAAGTTGCATACAAAGAACTCATTCATCGATATTGATTTTGAAGTATTAACGTGATTTTGGATTTTCTGTTAAAATATTATTTGAATTTAGTTTTCTGTTTTGTTGTGAATGTTGAATAATTGATGGATTCTATTAAGCTCCATTTTTGTAAGTGGTTTAAGTCATTTCATGTAACTTTTACAAGCCTAATGGAACTCTCTCTTTGTTTGGTGGCAAATTATGTACCTTTGAACCAATTGAATGGAAAAAATAAACTCTTAAAAGGAAGTTTATATTTCTTGTATTAGAAATTGTTTATATGTTAAATGGATCAAGATTGAAATTGTGAAGGTAATAACTTTTTTAATAGTATCTCAACCACTCTTAAAAAATTTTATAGTGTTAATACGCATGAATATCTAAAATAATTCAGTATATTTTGAGTTTGTATAATACTGATAAAAACTCGAATATAGAAAATTATGAAATCTAGAATTTGCAAAGAAAAGGAGGTGCTTTTGTTCCGTATTTTTCTGAAACCGAAATTGTGAATTTATAGGCAAAGTAATTTTGTTCACAAGGTTGCGACCTTTGATGAAACACACTCTTTTAACAACGGTTTTTTAATAAATGTTACAACTTTTTTTCTACTACAACACTGCTAAATCGTTTCCTATTTTGATTACTTATTACAACACTTTATGAAGCGTTGTCTATTTTGTAATTTTAAAAACAAATAGTCTACTACAACAATTCACAAAACGATGCCTATTTTCAAATTCAAAAAACCAATTACTTACTGCAACACTCCAAAAACGTTGTCTAATTTGAATTTAAAAAACAAATTTCACTTACATATTTTTTTGTCATTTTGGAATACACCCATGGCAATTAATTATTGTTAATAGTTACAACAATCTCATACTTGTTCTAATAATTACAAGACGAATTCTAGAAAAAAATTTAGTTTATACAATAAAGTATCTTTCGACTTTAAGTTAACCTTAATAAAGATAACACAAAGTATATCCCTTGTGATTATACTGGTGTTACCTCACATACCCACTCACCCACACATACACACGCACACACACTTTAATGGTTCTTTGCCTACATATCCCGCTTATCACTATTTATGGCCATGTGCTTTTCCTATTTCGTGAATTTTTTTTGTGAGATAAACTTCAATTCTCACTTTGAGAAAACACCATCTTAAAATTCATATAGGTGAATTTCATAATGCATCTATTTTTCTTGATATATATGTTCTCGACATTGAACTTCATTAAGAGTTTGAGAAATTCAATCCTTAATATTTAGTAGTTAACATTATTACATAATATTGCACAAACATCCAAATTAATGACTTGTTGTTTTCAATTGATTATTGAGGTTAATGTTTAGTTAACGTTATATTGGGTTGCCTCCGTAGTTGAAACTCTTATTCAAGGAGTTTCAATCCCAAACCTCTCGAGGTAGTCTTTTCCATCTCTTAGTAAATGGATCAACTACATTAACTTGAACGAATATATGTGAGTGAAATGATTATATCCTTAATCAATTTTCTCGTGAAAGAATGTATAAGATTTATATATCTAGACTTTCCATTATACACTTTGTTGTATGCTCTAATTAAAGAGGCCTAACTATCGCAATGTATCAACGCCATTGAAGCATTGTCCTTAACCAATGGAACTTCCAACAAAAGGACTCTCAACCTTTCAACTTATCTACAAGTGGAAGCAAGATCCGTGAACTATGATTCCATGGTCAAGAGAGTGATACACGTTTCTTTCTTCATTTTCCAAGAAATTGCACCCACAACTAGTGTAAATATTCACCCTATTATAGATTTATAATCTCCGACACTCGATATCAAACTTTTACCTATATACCCCTTTAATATGGCAGGAAACCTACTATAATGGAGGACAAAATTATTATTTTTCAAAAGATATCCGAAATTATTTGTGATGCACATTGCATTAAATCTAGTCATTTCACTAACTGAAAATGATATGTCAGGTCTGGTACATTGCGTTAAATACATTAGACAACCAATTTTACTTTGATATTCCAACTGAGCCATAAATCTTCCATAATTCTTTTAAAGTTTGAAACTATGATCAAATTGAGTACTCATTTTCCTTGAAATGTAGGTGTTTAAATTTATCAACTAAAATACTTTCTCAACATAGTGTGTTTGACAAAGTTCATAATCCCCACTATTTCGCTTTACTATGATTCTTAAATAAGTTTCCATTAATCCAATATCTTTCATCTTGAATGTGGAAGTTAGAAACCTCTTTGTTTCTAAAATTCTATTTCTCTCATTCCTAATGATCAACATGTAATCAACATAGAGACAAAGGAATATCACAATATTCTCACACAATTTTGTGGACAAACACTTGTCACAAGAATTATGAACAAATTTGTTTGAAATGAGTATGAGTTTAAAATTGAATCATGAAGCATTGTAATGATTTACACAAATTCAAACTTGTGAAGAGTTTCCTTTTAACACTAGTATTCAAATACCACCTTATGGTAATCGACTACCACTTTTTCCATAACTCAATTTTGCAAATATTATACTTGGTATTCTAAAACCACATCATTGAAGTCGAATACATCCTTTATTTCAACCCTCAAAATGTGTTTTAATAGTAATGCTTCATGTATATGATCATATATGATTGTGCATCATGATGCAATAAGGTGTTTTTGATGAATTGAGAGATAAAATTCTGAGCAATTTAAAATAGTATAGTATGAATTGCAATGAACATCTATGTGATATCCACTTGTCTTAAATGTTCACTTGAATTTCTATGCTCAACCTTCTTGATCAACTTCATCATTGATGTGTGTAATGTAACACCCCAAATTTAAGCAGAATATTTTAATTAATTATTTAATTGAGAATATTCGTATTTTGGATGGTTTTCGGTGGTTTTATGGATTATTGAGAAAATGTGCATTTTTGGATTATTTATTTAATTAATAGTATACTATATGATAATATTAGTATTATTATTGATTAAAATGAATATAAGTGAAATAAGGGTAAATTGGGCATTATGAAGAGTTAGTAAGGGTGTTATGGGAAAAACCCAATTGTGTGGCCCAAGTCTAAGTTTGACAAAATAGAATTCTGAAGGTTGAGGATTCATTTTGTTAACCGTGAAAAGAATGGAGGCCAGAGCTCTGAGGAGGGATCAGTGGAGGCAAAAGCTTCGGAAGATTGCCAGAGTTAATCGTGAAAGCTTTGAATCGGCTAAGGTATGGGGAGTATCGTTGTTCATGATTTTCTATGTATTCCTTTAGATGCGTTTATGGTTAGTTTGTGATTTAAGGTATTTTGGGTTAGTTATGGAAAAATAGGAAATTTAATGATAAGGCTTTGAGGTTAAGGGTAATGGTATGTAACACTGAATATTGATATGAGAAGGGAAACCTTAGGCCTTCATGGCCAAAACCTTGGATTGTGATATGTTTGACCCTGTAGGAATAGGAATATTCAATGTGAGTAACTCTGATGCACTCAGAGCAATTGCAGGAAAATAGTGTTTTAGATAGTGCAAATTTTTCCAGATTGGCCTAATAAACCATAGATTTTGTGCCTTTATCGCCGTAAGACCTTAGGGATGATTTAGGGATGTTTGGAGGCATTGGAGAAGTGAATCGTGTGGACTTTTGGGTTGATTTAGGTTCCGGAGCGTAATAGCGTTTTGCTGTCCGTCACGACTGTTCATGTTTTCGGTCGAAATCGTTTTGGACGTAACTTTTGATCCGTAAGCCCGTTTTGACCCCGTTCAAAGCGTTGGAAAGCTAATGAACAGGGCTATAACATAGTATAGATAAGGGAATTGGTTTCCCAATATTTTTATATCTAATTATGTTTGAGAAGTCAATTGTGTTTATGTCCTATTAATGAATCATGGTTTGGTTCAGTGATGTCTTGACGTTTTGATGTTGCGATTTTCCTGATGAATTACCATGAGGGTAACTGTGATAATATGATGAATTAACATGAGTAGGACTATGAATTTTATGTGATTAATAGGCGATAGTATGAGAATTACCGTGAGTATAATATGATGAATTAATATGAGTGTGACAGTGAGGTTGCGTGAGTAATAAGTGCTAGTATGAGAATTACTGCGAGTGTAATTATGATGAATTAATATGAGGCAATGTGAGATGATATTAAGGATTAATATGTAAATACTATGTGATGATATGACGAATTAACATGAGTAGAACTGTGAAGTTTATGTGATTGATAGGCGATAATGTGAGGATTACCGTGAGTAATAATTTGATAAATTAATATGAGATGATATGGGGGTAGTATTATGAATTGATATGGGATAATATGAATATGAGCTAATATGTGATTATACGTGATTATATGATGGCATGATGTGTGAGATTAATTACTATGATGAACTATGATGATATGTTGTATGATGAGTAATATGATGAATTATGATGATATGTTGTATGATGATTAATGTGATGAGATATGATGATATGTTGTATAATGATGATTACTGTGATGAGATAAGATAGCATGATGTATGATGATGATTGTTACGATGAGATATGATGACATGATTTATGATGATGAATATGACGATGAGATATGACGTGTAATGATGATGAATATGATGAATGATGATGCACCATATGCTGTTATTATGAGGACTATTGTGAAGTGTGCATCATGCATTCATGTGCATCTGGACTTCGGTTCTGGACCTCGATTACTTTGGCTTCAATCCCACTGTGTGGATGTGAAGTATTTTGATGTGCTCCGATCTTATTGATGGGGATCTATGGAGGGTTGATGGCCCAGTGTCCATCGCGCTATGATGATTGGTACCACATGCATTGAGTCTATGTTGCATTTGCATTTATGAGCCTTTGTGTATAAATTATGACGTTGTGCCCTTTGAGGCATATTTGAAGGATATCAATGTGTTGAATATAACTATAAGTAATATGTCGTTTATGCATTAATTGTTATACATTGATTATTATGAGTTGT